TGGTTGATCCACTCTGAGACGGTGCTATTTAAGAGACTGAGCTGAATACAGCTCCTCAGACTGAGGAAGTCTCTCGGATGAGAGACGAAACATTTCTACATTTTTTTGTTGATTTGCTTTGTTTTGTTTTTTCGAATGTCCAGAGGACCAGATTTAACTTTTTTAGATATTGGATAGATTTTTTTTTTCCATGAGAGGTGACATGCTACACATCGTGCAGAGACCAGACCAGAGAAGGAAGTGTTAAAGAGGAAGTTGACTGTACCATGCTGTCTGTAGATGGGGGGTTTTCTATAGAGATTATCTTTGACCATAGTCTCTGAAGATGCAGAGGAAATGGAAGAAGCCAGCATGGGCGGGGGACAGAAAGAAAGAGAGAGAACGGAAAAAAAGAAGCATGAGTTAGCAGTTTTTTGAAGAATGAGATCTTCTGACGCAAACAGGGGCCAGCAGGGCTCAGTTTAATAGAAGACATTTGTCATTTTTAATTACAGCACCTCAGAAACATCAAACAGTTTTCATGCAACACATTCGGGGTATATTTTTCCATTGGGCTTTATTAAGAAGGAAAGGGAGGTTATCTGATGCAATACTTTTCAATAACACTCAAAGAATAATACTAAGTAATCAAATTAACCAAATAATCACATCAAATTAAATCCATTTGAATCACATTAAATATGAAATATTTGATATCAGTAGCACACATGGTTCAGTCAGTATTTATAAAAGATCAAATCAAACCAGTTTTAAAGGTCATATAATAACATGAAAACCAAATAAGTTCATAGTAATGCTGAATGATGTGTCTAGCGCATGATGATGGTACTAACAGTGACTGAATTCATCTTAGTGGACGCCTGACAAAGACACTCAGCGCCAACTGTTTCACATTAAGGCACAACAGAAACAACGCAGAGTAAAACAACATTTGTCTTTTAACAGGATTGTTGCAATGTCAGTATCTGAAACAATGATTACTCAAAAGCCATGAAGACAAAAGACAAGTTAACCCATTAAGTGGAGAACTATAGGCTGTAGTTTTATTTTTATTTTGGACCTGAGCATCTTATAAATACATTTTTCTGTCTTTCACTTTCTCTGGATGACATTATTCTGGCCTTTAGTTCAATTGTTAAAAATTTCCTGTTATTTTTGATCAGGACATGTCTTTTATCCCCCACATTAAAAATGTTACTAGAACTGTCTTCTTCCACCTGCGTAATATGATTAAAATTAGAAACATCTCATCTAAAAATGATGCAGAAAAACTGGTCCATGCATTTGTCATATCCAGACTGGACTATTGCAAAGGGTTATTATCTGGGTGTCCAAATACTTCTTTAAAACGTCTTAAGTTGATCCAAAATGCTGCTGCCAGAGTCTTAAAGAGAGTTTATAGGAGAGATCATATCTCTCCAGTTTTAGCTTCTCTCCATTGGTTCCCTGTCAAATCCAGAATAGAATCCAAAATCTTTCTAACCTACAAAGCTCTCAACAACTTAGCTCCATTTTATATTACAGATCTTATTGTTCCATATTTTCTTAACAGAGCACTTCGCTCTCAGACTGCATGCTTACTTCTGGTTCCTAGAGTTTCCAAAAACAGAATGGGAGGCAGCGCTTTCAGTTATCAGGCTCCTCTCTTGTGGAACCAACTTCCAGTTTTTCTGTCTGTGAGGCTGACACATTGTCCAGTTTTAAGAATAGGCTTAAGACTCTCCTTTTTGATAAATCCTATAGTTAGGGTTGGCTTGGGTTTCCTGAGCTATCCCTTAGTTATGCTGCTATAGGCTTAGACTGCTGGAAAACAAACGTTGGTTACATACTGTATCCCCAGATTCTATAGGCACAGCCCTTTAAGACTGTCGCTAGTGGGTTTATACTTTCGTGTGCAACACTGAAAACTTTAGTCCACACCCACCTGCTGTGTGGGCCTCACCCCCAGTCCATATAAATTACGATGAGACTGGGCAATCAGCTCCCAAATAGCTTTTTTCTTCAGCCATTTAGGAACCAGTGAGGCCCAGAGCTTAAAGGGCTGTGCCTATACTCATAGAATCTGGGGTTACAGTACGCAACCAACGTTCTATTTCGTAAGGCTGTCGCTGGTGGGTTAAAGGTGAAGCAGGATGTAGTCTATGCCTCACTGGGTCCATTCAGACACAACATGAAGCACCTGCTTGCACAAAAAAACATTTCATCACTCAGCCTTCTGTGTGTGTAATTACGCGCTGCGTAATTGCGTGCTCCATGCGCAGGAGCGCACCTGAGAAAAGATCTCTGGTGAGGAAAAAAGCTGAGATAGAAGACCTGCTGCTGTGAATAGGAACAATGGAGGATACGAATTGTAACAGTGTAACAATGAACAGAGCAGCCCAACAGCTCCTCAGGATGAACCGATTAATAACAATAAAATCAGCAGTCATGAACTTGTGACTGATAATAAATATCTCACAATGCGACTGCATGTAGACAGGTGTGAACTCAAAAGTGAAGCTCCAATAAACAAATAATAATCATTCTGTCAGAACACTGAGAACAGAATGGGTCATGGAGAAAGTTGAAACATCACGTAAATAAAAAACGAATAATTAAACATGGCGATGACCAGGCAGCCGCCATACAAATATCCTCCACTGTCATCCCTCCATGCAGAGCCATGGAGGATGAAAACCCTCTGGTGGAATGCGCTGAGATTCTCTGGAGGATCCAGTCCAGATGAACTGTAAACTTCAGAAATAGCCTCACACAACCAGTGTGAGAGGCGCTGGGTGGATAGAGGACATCCTGAAGAGCTGTCCCTGTAATGCACGAACATACGATGAAAATGGCGCAGTGCGGCCGTGTGCGCCACGTAACATGAAAATGCGCACATGGGACAGAAGGAGGTGAGATGTTGCTTCCTCCTCAGAATTATGAGGAAGAGGATCAAAACCCATCCAAGGTTATCACTCTCGAGCTGAATGAGCTTGTGATGCTTTTCAGAGCAGGGTTAAAACGCAGTACAGCTGAGCTGCAGTCAGCTTGAATTCTGAGACATGAGGGAGCAACAGAGAGAGAAAACAAACACTCACTCTCTTTGCCGATATCAGAGCTAACAGCAGAACTGTTTAAAATGACAGAAATTTGAGTAAAACCTGATCTAAAGGCTCAGAAGGAGCTTTGATCAGAGCGTTCAGGACCATCATTAGGTCTCACTGTAGAACTAGTGGATGTGACACAGGTCTGTGTCTCTGTACACCTTTCAGAAAATGCTTCATCAGCGGGTGATTAACAACTGTTCTGTCACTGAAAAAATTTCATGACAGGAAAAAATAGCTGCAGCATAAGTCTTAATTGTCCTGAACGCTAGATTTCTGTCCATCAGCTGCTACAGAAAGGACAGCATGCCACCTAGTGGACATGAGATGGCCTCTACACCTTTCTCCATGCACCAGCGCTGAGAAGCTGTCCACTTTGATATAAGCGCATAAAGGAGCATTTTTGGCCACAGGCTGTGAGCGAAGACATCCACTCCTAACGGTGGGTCGTCTCGTGGGCTCATTGAGAACCATAATTGGCACTGGGCGTTCTCCTGTGTGGCGGACAGATCCACTGCTGCTCAGCTGAACCTGCTCCAAATCTAAGAGATCAGCTCGGGATGGGGGCTCCAGTCTCTGTAGCAGGGACCGCCCCTCAACATGATATCCACTCGCCTGTTCAGGATGCTGGGAATGTACACTGCTCTGATGGAGAGCAGGTTTTTGTGTGCCCAACACAACAGCTGTTTTGCGATGTGTAACAGTTGGGCTGAGCCCACGCCTCCCTCATGTTTTATGTAAGCTCCCGTCACTTTGTTGTCTGTGTGGATCAGAACATGCTGATCCCATAGCAGGGGGCAAAATGCTGAGTCACGTTTCAGACCGTGAAACATTCTAGCATATTTATGTGAAGCGACATGTGGTTCAGCCACTGTGCTCCCACTGCCTGGGACAGACACATTCTTCCCAGCTTGACAGGAATGCATCTGTGAAAACTGAGACGTGTAATGTAGGCCTGCTGATGGGAACTCCCTCTGTACAGAATGAGGGGGTTTCCCCAGTGATTCAGATTGGTTTTCACGGAGGGGGCACAAAGATAATCCGCCTCTTCTGGCGCACAGAATCTATGCGCAGGCGGGTGAACCATATCTGAAGGTGTCTCATGTGAAGTAGGCCCAGCGGAACCACACACAATTTGGGCCGCTGACATCGTCCCAGGAGTTGCATGACAGGCAGACTGTCACTATGCTGCAGGGTTTGGCACGGCGGAGCTGAGCTGATAGAGCTTCGGCTCTCAGCTGTGATAAACGGGCTCTCATTGTAGTTGAGTTAGCTCTACTTCCAGATAAACAATCATCGGGGACGGACGAACAGAACTTTTTCCCAGTTTATGGAAAACCCCAGGTTTAGCAGGTGTAACACTAGCGTTTTGGTCTGTGCGACTGCTTTCTAACTGGACTGAGCTAATAAGAACAGATCGTCCAGAAGAATTCTCATTCCTGCCATGTGTAACGACTGCAGAGCCGTCTCCACAAATTTCGAGAACGTGCGTGGGGTGTTTCAGAATGATGGAAATGTGAAAGTTTATCAGAGCCACTCTGAGTAACACTCGGAGATCGGGCACACATTTGTGTTTTGTCATGTTTCTCATGAACATCACCCAGACTAAAAAGCGTTACTGCCATCACTCGCTCTGGAGATTCTCCTGGGGGAACCCAAGGGGGGCTCCAACAGAAAAAAGGGCTATATGTGTGCCTCTGTGCTGAGCCCAAGCTGCGGTCTCACGTTAGAGCTGAGGTGAGCCGGCGTGCACTGAGAGAAGGTGTGAGCGCTTTCTGAGTGAGATGCTGTTTCGGTGGAGGCTGCAGCTGTCGTGGAGAAAACACGTTTACTCCCGCTGCGCTGTGAGTAGGCAGAAAACAGCAGAAATTAAAAACGGCCTCTGGCTAAAAACAAGGGATTTTACCGGACTCGGTCTGCTGAAAAAACAATAATTTTAGCTGACGTGGCAGACGAGTGTTTGTAATATTTACTGAACTGCAGTGCCATTTAAAACGCTGTTTAGAGGTTACTGGCTTGTTCTGTGTGGGGAATGTGTGAAGAGAGGCAGCTGTGAGATCAGCTGATCTGATGGTCTCCGATGAAAACTTTACTTTCAGAGGTGTTTCTGTTTTATATCAAAACACACATCATCAAAAAACACATACATTCCCCTCAAGGATCTGTTATATGGCCGGTGGAAGAGCAGAGCGTGAAGTCATTGCCGCAGCTATGGAATGCCTCTGCTGCTGTTCCT